TTTTTTATTACATTTTCAATTTCACTCATTGTTATTGGGGTTTATTTTTCATCTTGATACAAGGTCTCATTAAATTGCCCAGGCTGACCTTGAATTTTTGATCTTCTTGCCTCACACTCCTGTGTAGCTGGGATTACAGGCATGTGTCACCACACACAGCTCTGGCATGCACAATTTTATCCATATATATTTTAGTGTGTATCTCTAAAAGATAAAGATTCTCTTGTTAACCACAATAATGCCATTGTACCTGAAATGTAACAATAATTTTTTACTGTCATAAAATACTCAGTTTTGGAATTTCTAGTCTTCTCATTAATGTTGTTCCCTCAGCTGGTATGTTTACAATTGGTTAAATCTTTTAAGTCGTACCTTTTTTATTTTTTGTGGTTCTGGGGATTGAACTCAGGACTTAGCACTTGGGAGGCAGGCAGCAGCACCACTGGGCTAAATCCCTGGCCCAAGTCATTCCCTTTTTTAACAACTAGATTGAAATTTAATTCACTGATTTAAAATGAAGCCAGTGTTGTTTCATCTACCTCCCAATCCATTCTTCCCTTCCCGTATTATTTAAAATTTATTTATTAAGATATAACTTACATAAGGTTCACCCTTTTAAAGTATACAATGAGTGGTTTTTAATTTATTTGCAAAGTTGTGTATCATTATTATTCAATAATTTTTAGCATATTCACAGTTGTATAAATACAAATTCATATAATTTGTAGATTTTCCAGTCCAAATCTTTTTTTCCTTTCAATTTATTTGTTGAAGAAACTTGAAAAAAAAAAAAAAAAAGACTGTCAGGTGTAGTGGCATATGCCTGTAATCCTAGCACTCTGGATCCTGAGGCTGCAGGATCATCACATGTTGGAAGCCAGCCTGACCACATAGAGAGTTCAAGGCCAACCATGGAGAGTTCCAGGACTACATAGAAAAACACTGTCTCAATAAAAGAAAGAAAGAAAACAAAACAAAACAAAGAAAGTTGTTTATTTGCCCCGTAGAATTTCTACAGTTGATGTAGCATTTTTTAACATGTTCCTCTTCCTTTGTATTTCCCATAAATTGGTAGTTGGATATAGATGTCTGATGAGACTCAGATTTAATTTTTTTCCCCACAGATTACTTCATAGTCCCATTTATGTTCCGAAGGCACATACTGTATCATCGTTTGTTATGTGATGCTAGTAGTGATTGATACTCAATGGGTAGATAGACCTCCCAATTCACTAGGGGTTGCAAAATGGTGGGATTCTATTATTCTATTATTCCTTGTTTGTTTATTACTTGGAATAATAGTCTTACAAGGAGAATGGTATCATTTCGTTAGAAAATGAAATACACTTATTTCATTTTCCATATTTTAGAGCCCTAAATTTTCTTTAAGGTTTCAAACATTTTCATAATCTGTGTTATAATGCTTGCGAGGCAGGTGGCGGAACCACTGAGCTAAATCCCCGGCCCCTATGTGTTATAATGCTTAACGGCTAGAATACCTCTCTTCCTACAGAAACTGGTAGTAGGAAAGAAAATAACAAGGTGGAGACAGTGGCAACCTGAAACTGCACGCCAAGATTAAAGGATATTTGTCCCTGCATTCGGCAGTTTCTCTTTTGTTTTTCCCGCCTCTGCAACACATAAGGTTCTCCTATATGAAACACCATAGGGGAAAAAGTACACCAGATCTAAGAGCCTGAAAAGTTCTGCTTGCTTGAGGAATTTCTGTGGATTTCCCTTACCATGCAACTGCATCAGTGAGTAGTATACGGTTTTCCATTTCGCATCGAGTCCCCTAATTTAAAGCCTTTTCGGTGTGTGCTTAATTTTGGAACAAAGGGAATTTCTGATCAGCACATCTGTATTTTTTTCGACCTTGATTTTCCATACTTGTTTCTGACACACATTTAATTTTACACTTCCTTTTCATCGTATATTGTCTAAGCTGATTAAAATTTTCTACGAGGAAAAAGAGATTGATTGAACAAAAACACATAGCCACCCGTCATCTACTAGAGAATATTTTTCTTGGCACTCTACACAGTGCCGGGTGTGTACAGTAAAATCCTCACCGATGTAATAAGCCAGAAATGGTTTCTTATCGGGAAATTAGTTTCCATTTCTATCATTACTGCTAAAAGTGAAGATTTTCCACATGTGTTAACTAGGTTTAAATAAAACTGCTCTCTTCGGACATGGCTTATCTGGGGAGAAGTCCTGCCAGTCACACTGAAAGACAAGACAAATGATGAAATCCAGAAATATCTCGCTTTTACATATAGGCTTTGACTCCGCCCCTGGGTCCCACCCCCAGTCTCGCAAGCAAGCCCTTTGTGTGTGTCAACAGGGAATGGGATCTCAGTCAGCAAAAGGTGGCAGAAAACAGAATTGCCCTCGGATATGTGGATTATGTACACATCCTGTTTCTGACTGCCTTGTTTATGGGGAAGAGTTCTGACCATGCTTGGAGTACCAAACGTCCCGGGAGTCTTTCTTGCAGGCGTGGCCTCTCTCACTCGGGGTTTGATTGGCTTACCTGACCCCCTCAGGAGTCGCGGCGAGGCTGGCTAGTTCAGCGCGATTGATGAGCGGCTGCTTCTGTCTTTCTCACCCCCTACTTTTTTTTTTTTTTAGCCATAGCTATGGTTACCACGTCTCTCTCCGCCTCCCTCCACCCACCAAGAAGACGCCTGTTCATTGGTTATCTGTCATCAAAGCGCTTAGTTATTGGTTTCTGGTGAGACCCGGCGCTCCCCCCTTTTCCTGTCTCCCCGGTCTCTTGAGGAGCCCAGGAAGGAGGCTCAGCTGGTGCTGCCGGCTCAGAGGCTGCCAGGACCGGGCTTCGGCAGTTGTTAGCGGGTCATGTCGGCCGCCCAGGGCTGGGACAGGAACCGCCGGAGGGGAGGAGGTGCGGCCGGCGGTGGCGGCGGAGGTAGCGGGGCCAGCGGGGGTAGTGGGGGCAGCGGGGGTCGGGGAACTGGCCAACTCAACCGCTTCGTACAACTCTCCGGGCGGCCGCACCTGCCAGGTGAGTCTTGGGACGTGGTCCTGACAGCTCGTGGGCGCGGCGGGAAGGTGACTTCTGAGTTGTCTTTTCTCCGGTTTTCTTTTTTCTTGGGAGGAGACAAGGCAGGCCCGCGTATAGCAGAGAGACCGAGAATCTGAGAAAAGGGAAGGTGTTTTTGAGGTCAGGGAGAGAGCCAGAGCACAACGAAGAAAAAGTATTTTCGTTCTGTTGAAAGCACTGAAAGAGTTGTGTTTTCCTTTCAAAAGAGAGGCTGCTGTCTCATTGACATTCCCAAATGTTTCGCTCACTTGATTTTCAATCTCTCTCCCTTCCGCAGTTTGATCTTGTGAAAGCAAGACATTGATGCCTAGCTGTGGAAAATTATTTCAAAAAGAGAGCTAAATTAAGGAGAGAAGGCGGAGGAGCATTCCAAGGAGTGATTTTGTAAAAAACCATCTGAGTGTGTAAGAGTTAGGCATCCTGAAAGGAAAAAAAAGGAGTAGTGCTGATGTTGGGGGGTTGTTAGTTAGAGAAAGAACCAAGGGGATTAGGGAAAACTAGTTGAATTCTTAATATTTTGGAATGTCCAGCGACAGACTGGATAAAATGGTGTCTAGATCTTGGGGCGGGGGCGTGGAGAAACGAAGATTGAGAATATACTTAGTGACAAAATCATGTAGTGACTACAGAATAAAAACAACTGATTGAGAATTGGGAACATGTACTCAATGAAATAAATTTCACGTTTTGGCCTGAAGTGCCTTATCTTTGAGTCCAGACACCTTAAAAACAAAACAGAACAAAATTAAGTTGTTAGGTGTGTGTAGACAATTTTAAAGAGGTACAATGTGAGTGAATATTCAGTATAGAAGAAAGGCAGGGATTAATGTACAGAATGCTACATTAAGCAATATTATTTTTAGCATGAAGAGAACTGTCAGGAATGATGTGTCTGTCATTTACCATCTTTTTTGTGAATAATGTTGAGATTGATTAAATCAATGATATATTTGTTTAGCTGATGAATTTTGAGGATAAGGTTTTACAATTGTGTTTACTACTGTGCTTTGTACACTTCTAAGTGGTCAAAATTTATTATATTAATTTGAAGATAACAAAGGGAAAATTTACATCTTCAGGGGAACTATTGCTTAATGTTTGCAATAAGCTTATTGATGTGTGCTAGAAATATAAGTTAATCTGTTCATATGTGCCATTAAAGTTGAGGCATTTGTAAAGTTATATATGTATATATATATATATAATATGTAATATACCAAATATATAATCTGCCAGGAGTTGGGTTTGAAATGATATCAGACTGGACATCTTAGAATTGCTAAATGTGTGATCATTAACAAAGGAAAAAAAAGGAGAAATCTTTTTTCTTATTCCAATTTAATAAGAAAAACAGATATTTTGCTATTTTGTGTATTGGTAGCTTAGAAGATAAATATCTTGGCAAGGACTATTGCCAGTTTGTCGTCTGCTATTCTGATCTTTAGATCTTTGGTCACGGATTAATGATTATACCATGGTTCTAATATAGGCATTCCCAGGCTCCTGGAACTGGGTAGCGCACTTCCTCACTGCTACCACACGAGGGCGGTGGAAGCCATGATTTCAGTTAAAAGCCTTAGGTGTGGAGCTATTTCTGTATTCCCTTAGCACACAAGGCCAAGAACAGCCATTTGTGCAGAGGTAGATAAAACGTGTCTAAACTGTAAAAATTCGCAAAGTGGGGTCGTCTGTTTCCTCTTTCTTCTTCCTTTTTCCCTGGCTGACACTTCATTCCTCCTTCCCCATGTTGGCATTTACTATCCTTTCCCTTATTCTCAAATTTGGAAACGTTTGATATCTTAATATATACTTTTCTTTCATACTAATTCTCTATAAAGATTCTTTATTCCCCAGCGCTTGCATTTTAAACCTTCTCCCCTTATCTATACATTCTGTTTTGAGATCTACAAAATGTCTAAGCCTGTTTTATGACTGATCCTGGAGGCACAAGATTTTTAAAATTAAGGTGTACTGTAGCTGACTCCGTTTTGTTTTTTTTTTGTTTCGTTTTCTTTGACCTCCTGTCTGTTTTTCATTTTTCATTCTTCTCTACCAAGCCTTTCTTATGTTTGAAGAACCCTTTGTCTTCCTTTTTGCATCTGTAGCCTGCAGCAGGCTTCCCATGAAACAGAACAGTCTGGTCCTCTTGGAGTGTTCTTCTTTCGGCAAGAGCATCTTTGTCTATCCAGTTGTGCAAACATGAAACTCGGGCATCTGCCTTATGCTTTTCTTTTCCTTCGCACTTTTGGTGTAATCAGTCATCCAGTCCTGTTTTACTTTTGCCGTAACTCCAGACGGTGCAGCCATCACCCTTCACTTAGCTCGCTAAGCAGTTTTCCTGCTTCTACTGGTGCCTTCGAGTTCATATAGCACTCTGATCTTTGTGAGCAGAAATCTCTCCTCAACCCTGCTTACAACCCTTGCCTGACTTGTCACTGCTTCTAGAATAAGGCAAAAATCCTTAACATAGCCTAACAAGCACCATGTAGTCTGGCTTCTTGGACTTCCTGTCAGTCCTCCATTACATGCTCTTACACTTGGATCTTTCTCTGCCTCTTTGCATGTGTCATGTGTCCTCTTGCCCCAGGGCCATTGCACATGTTATTCCATCATCCAGAATTATTCTTATTCTTCATTCTATTCTCTTAACTTTTCTTCCACTGGCTCTCAGCTCAGTTACATTATTTTTTGTTTCCAAGGAAGCTTTCTCTGACCTTTCTGACTTGATCTCTTCTTCCTCTGTACACTATCATAGCATCATGTGGTTCTCCAAATAGATATATTTGGCAAGGGTGCTGTATATATGTATATATACTTATATACGTACACATGCATCACATACATATGCATAGACTTTTTCTTTTTTGAGACAGGGTTTTGCTTTGTAGTTCAGGCTGGACTTGAATTCACTATGTACCCTAGGCTGGTCTTGAACTCACAGTGATCCTCCAGCCTCTGCCTCCTGAGTGCTGGGATCACAGACTTGCGTCACCATGCCCAGCTTACATATACATTTTAACATTCTAAATTAATACATTGAAATTGTGTGTAAGACGTTAATGTCTAGTGAATTTGATTTATCATGATTCACTCCCCTGTAGCCCCACTGACTCTGGACAAAGGGAGAAAATCAATTCTTAAACTTGTGAAGTAGTGGACTAGACTCTGCATCTGTTGTGATAGCACAAGTGATATTTTATGAAACTTTGAGCACCTTCTTGCCTTTCTGCTTTTTCTAAAAAACAATAGTGATTAGGTGTTTGCCACATAGATGAAGACATTCATAACATTTTAGTCCTAGGCAATTCATAATTTCTCTACACCCAGTGAAGAACAGGGAATATGATCAAAGTACATTATGTATACTGAAACCCCACGTGAAACTAAGAGGGAGGGGGGACGAAGGGACTGATGGGGGGATGATTAAAGTATGTTACATCCATGTGCAGATCTGCCAAAATGAAACCCATTAATCACCAGTATGCACTAATAAAAATGGGGACAAAAAGAAGAGGGAGCTGTGCTTTTTGTGGAAAAATGTGCAAAGAGAGAGCTCACGGAGTATGGAATCCAGGTTACTGTTGTGACCTTAACTGTGAGTGTGATGAAATGAATTGTGTTAGTTGGGAAAACAAACTGTCAATAACATAGGAATTGGAATACTGACAAAATAGAGCAATTGGTGAAGCTGGGTTAAAAATAATACTGAAACATAAGTAATGTGTAAAATTCAAATGATAAAAAAGAATTTATGGTAAAGGCAAGTTTTCCTTCTACCCTCGATCCTAGCTAATTGACTTTCTTCCTGGAAGCAAGCAAACGTACTTTTTTTCCCCATATTTTTTCAGAGGGATGTGCATGTGTTTGTGTGTATGGAGAGACAGATGCTGAGATCTCTTTGTTTGGATGGCATTTATAATGTTTGCAGCCTTGCTAATACAAACTGATACAGTGACTATCTCTGTACCTACAGAATTTTGCACATGAGAGTGAGTCTGTCTTTAGGATAAATTAGTGGAAGTGCTGGGTCAGAGCATGCATACTATTTGAATTTTGAAAGCTATCAAGTTACACTTCATTGAGGTTATGCCTGTTTGTATTCCGAGGAAGAGGGCTGGTGGCTTCCTTGTTCCCTGTTCCTTTGGTAATGGAGTGACTTATTAAACCCTTTTTTAAATTGCCAGTTTAATTGGAATATTTTTCTTAAGCACCTTTTAAAATATGAGAGCCGTGTTTGTTTCCTTTATAGTATTTTGTTCATTTTTCTATTGAGATTTTATACTGTTTATAAAAACTCTTGTGTTGTAAAGGAAATTAGTTTTTAGTCTTTGAAATATGGTGCAGATATTTTGCACAGTCTTTTCATGTCCTTTGACATGCTTATGTACAGTTTATTTTTTCAGCAAAAATTTTAAAAATGCTTTGTAGTTAAAATGATCAGATCCTACAGTTCTGTGTGATAAGAAAGGCTTCCCTAGCCAATATTATTTCTAGTTAAAATGAATATTCTTTTTTGGTTTTTTTTTTTGGTACCAGGGATTGAACTCGGGTCCTTGTGCTTGAGCAGCAAGCAGCGAAATCACTGAGGTAAATCCCTGGCCTGTAAAATGAATATTCTTGTGGGGTTTTTTCTTGGTACTTAAATAATTTTATTTTTAATTTAGATATAATTATCCATATAAATGTAAGTTGAATAACATATTGGGATAGGAATCCAACATTATTTTTCTTCCGTGTAGCTACTCAGTTACCTCAGTATCTTTTATTAACTAGTCTTTTTTCTACTGGTTTGAAATCCTGTCTATAGATGTGCTTACATATAATTTGGGGTTATTATTGTGTTTTTATTGTTTCATTGATCAGTTTACCTAATGATCCTATTCTTTGGTTATCATCTTCCTACATTTTACCAATCAGAGAAATTTTCCTTATTTTCCCACAAACTTAGAATTAGCTAATCA